AGGTCCTGCCTACCCATCACACAGGCCAGCAGGCTGGTCACACCCTTGTGTTGATTGACCAGATGATAACCGGGAGGTCATCAGGCACCACCTCCTCCAGGTAGACCATGTTGTGTCCCCAAACTGTGGAGAACGTTGGGGCTGACCCAGGGCTTGGGGTCCCACAGGCCCGTCTGCTGCAGCCCAGCTGTATGTGGATTGCACAGGGCACAGTGCCTGCCCGGTGCAGACCCTGGGGCAGGAGGCACACAGCCGGGACACAGAGGCTTCTCCTGGGGCAGGGGTCAGTGGCTTCTGTGCCCTGAGAGTGGTTGGCAGTGCCCAGGGGTCCTGGGGAGCCCTCAGGGAAGGGCCTGCACTCCTGCTACCTGTCAGGATTCCCAGCCACATGACTCTAAACCAAAGACCATGTCTGGGAATGGGGCTGTGCCCCTCGTGGGGCTGCACAGGGGACAGTAGGACCCACCTGCACCAGCACATACCCTCCAGGGTGAATTGGCCGTTGTCAGTCTCGAAGGCTGAGGGATTGTGTCTCACACCAGCCCTGTTCCCTGCGGACAGAGGCAGCGGGGAAGCATCCAGTCGTCTCCCTCAGTTCCCTGCGCACCTGGGCCACGCCTACCTACCCTCTCAGCTCCGACTGCCTCCCCTCCTGGGGCTTCGCCTGCCTCTGCTCCTGGCTCTGGCTCCCCTGGTAACTGCAGATTGCTGCACTGCCGACAACTAAGAGAACACGACGAAGGGAAGTGGCATTGACAGTCCCTCTCCCCGGTGCACGTGTGCACGCAGCCGTCTTGTACACATGGTGCATATGCACAGCCCTTAAGCTTGTCCTTTCAATGCCCGAGAAACTGTGGGCGGGTTATGAGAGGCCACACGGGCTGGGCATGGCTGGTGGAGGCAGGTGGGTGGCCAAGGCCACACTGCAGGCGGGAGGGCTGGAGGTGGGAGTCAGACCAGCTGGTGGTCAAGCAGCATCCCCCCACCAAGCACCCCACCCATCCTGAGCCCGCCTTGCACCCTGGACTCATGCACGAGGATTTCCCCATGCAGCTTCCTGTCCTTTGGGTCCAAGGTGTTGATGAAGAACCTGAAGCGCGACCAGGCTTGATCAGGGCAGAGTTGTTGGAAGCCAAGGCTGAGTTGTGCCAGCTCCCGGAGAGCTGTGGGCACGAGAGAGGCCGATCGGGAGCCAGAACCCCTCCTTCCCCAGAGAGCTGCAGGCAAGAGAGAGGCTGATGGGATGGGGGGAGCAGAACTCTCTTCTCCCCCATCCAGCTCCGTCCACACCAGCAATTGGTGCCTAGTGTCCTGCTCAGATCGTGCCCAGGAACTCCTTGAAGTGCTGGCCGAGCTGGTGGACTCCAGGCCTTTAGGCTGACCCTATGCCCTGGCCAAGGGATCGCTGGCCTCCCTAGCACCTCCTGTGGATGGTGGCTCATGGGCAGCAAGCGGGGAGGATGGCCGGCCTTGCTGATCTCCATGTTGCCCCACCGCTAGGGTCCCTGGGACCCCACTGGACTGAGCTCAGGGCTTCTTCCAGGACCATAGCAGAGGCTCCAATCCCAAAGTTACCCTCAGAATCCCCCTCGGCCATTTACAAGTTGTGCAAAGGGTGACCTTGGAATTGAGCCCCACATCCTGGTCTGGGGGTGTCCACAGTGTGTCCATGCTCTGCTGTGGGCAGCGGTGCCTGTGGGCATCTGGCTGCCTGAGGCAGGGACTGTCAGAGTCATGCTCTCCGGAAGGATCTCCAGGCAGGTGTGGGGGATAGGGGACACTTCTACTCTAGCCAGGAGTCAGCTCGGCCCACTGTCCAGGATGCTCACTCGGGGTTTGACCACTATGATGCTGGCTGGGTGTCAGGACTGTCCTCCCAGCCCGGTCCCTGGCCCTTCCTCCTGGGAGCCCCCAGGAGCCCCTCAGGAGGTACCATCTCACGTGCAACAGGTCCGATGCCTGCTCTTGGGAGAGCACCCCATGAGCTTGGAGGCCACCAGCCAGTGCCAGGCCTACAATCAACTGCATCCCCAGGCATGGGCAGTTGGGGCAGAGGGACAACTGGGGACTCGCTGGCTGCAGGGATGCTGGGCCCTGGCCTGTCTATATAGTTGTGTGGTCAGGGTGCCTGGTGAGGTGTCCCTGGGTGTCCCTGACTCGGGGAAGGGGCTTCATCCTGGGAAATGTGAGCCAGCATGTTCTTTCTCTGTGGCTTTGGACACCAAAACGTTACGCTCCCATAAAGCCGGTTTCCAAAATCAACAGCGAATCTTGGGCTGGGCCAACTTCCTGGGCCTGCATGTTGGTTACTGTATTCGTCCATTTTCGTGCTGCTGATAAAGATATACCCGAGACTGAGCAATTTACAAAACAAAGAGGTTTAATTGGACTTACAGTTCCATGTGACTGGGGAAGCCTCACAATCATGGCAGAAAGCAAGGAGGAGCAAGTCAGGTCTTACAGGGATGGCAGCAGGCAAAGAGAGAGAGAGCCTGTGCAGGGAAACTCCTCTTTTTAAAACCATCAGATCTCGTGAGACTTACTCGCTAACACAAGAGCAGCACGGGAAAGACCTGCCCCCATGATTCAGTTACCTCCCGCCAGGTCCCTCCCACAATATGTGGGAATTCAAGATGAGATTTGGGTGGGGACACAGTCAAACCATATCAGTCACCTTGGGGAACCCTCCTGGAACACAGCTAGGGGGACACAGGCCCTGAACAGAGAGAGCCTGGGACTGAGCATTGGGGTTGGGGGGGCGGACGGTAGGGGATTCTGGGCTCCAGATGATGATGCCAAATTGTACCACAGGTGTCCCCACCCATAAGATGAGCCCCAGGGGTTATCAGAGCAGGGATAGTGATTGGAGGGTGTTGTGACTGAATGGTGCTCCCCAAGCACCCAAAATGCATGTTGATGTGCTAATCCCCAGCACTTCAGAATGGGGCCATCTTTGAAAGCAGGTTCATTGTAGATGTCATGAGAGTCAACCTTCCTCCACACTCGAGTACCTTTAGAAAGTTTTTTTTTTTTTTTTTTTTTTTTGAGACAGAGTCTCGCTGTTGCCCAGGCTGGAGTGCAGTGGCGCAATCTCGGCTCACTGCAAACTCTGCCTCCCGGGTTCACACCTCAACCTCCCAAGTAGCTGGGACTACAGGTGCCTGCCACCGTGCCCGGCTAAGTTTTTTGTATTTTTAATAGAGACAGGGTTTCACCATGTTAGCCAGGATGGTCTCGATCTCCTGACTTCGTGATCCGCCCGCCTTGGCCTCCCAAAGTGCTGGGATTACAGGCGTGAGCCACCACGCCTGGCCCGAAAGTTGTTTATATTTGATTCAAACTTCCTAGCTATTATCTGTGTGTATAGCGGGAGGGGTCTGCTCAGAGCTTCTCTGTGTCACAGGAAGCAGAACACTGACTTCTGTTTCAACAGGGACAGTTTGGCTGATGGGGGAGAATAGCCTGGGATGCAGCATGGAAGTGCAAGACCACCTTGGGGGGTGCTCCTCCATCATCAGGGAAAGAAGGGTGTGCTTGGACAGGAGGGAGCAGTGGAGGGTGAGGAGGAGTCACGGTCTGAATACATTAAATTAAATTAATTAATTCATTCATTTATTTGAGATAGAGTTTCACTCTTGTTGCCCAGGCTGGAGTGTGATGGCGTGATTTTGGCTCACTGCAACTTCTGTCTCCCAGGTTCAAGCGATTCTCCTGCCTCAGCCCCCCGAGTAGCTGGGATTACAGGTGCCTGCTAGCACACCCGGCTAATTTTTGTATTGTTTGTAGAGATGGGGTTTCACCATGTTGGCCAGAGTGGTCTCCAACTCCTGAACTCAGGTGATCCACCCGCCTCAGCATCCCAAATTGCTGGGATTACAGGCGTGAGCCACTGCACCCGGCCTCACTAGACTTTTGTTTGACTGAGTGCCACCCCAAATGCCAACAATGAGGGTGGTCTCTTGGTGGTTCTTTCATGCCCTGCCCACTGCCCCGTTCCTTTGTCCACCTGAGGCCCCTGGGGTTGGGACTGCAGGAGTCTGAGGCCAGGGCCAGCCTGAGTAGCTGATGGTGGGGTGGGTGCTGGGGACACTCAGCTCTGGCTCGGTTTCCCTTTGTGCCGCCTTCTGGGGTGGGGCTAAAGGCTTCTGCCTACGTCCACATCCACCCCCATGCCCAGCCAGGCCTCCTCTGGGGCCCAGAGGTTCCTCCTGCACCAATGGGCAGTGGCCTCCCAGCACACCCCTTTCTGGCAGCCTTGGCTCTGCTCTTCCAAGGCCAGCTTTCTGCACCAACAGGCCCCGCCGAGTGGGCAGCTTCTCGCGTGTTCCCGCTGCGGCTCAGCAGGCTGGGCCCAGATCCAAACGGGGTCGGAAGCTGGGCAGCCGTGGGAATGCCAGGTGCCTCCCACTCCCTCCCATCCCAATGGAGCTGCTCCTTCCCCAGGCCTGGCACCCATACAGCGGGCACTAAAGCTCAACCCAGCCTCACCTTACAGCCTGGAGTTCCCAATGGAGGTAGGGTCGGGGGGTGGCATCAGGACCCTCATCCTAAGACAGCTCCACTTAGCTCCTTTACAAGCAGGCACTGGCTCTGGGGACAGGTTCTTCCTGAGCACCTGGGATTGTGACCCGCAGGATGACCCTCCTGCAGAGTTCACACAGACACCAGAGTTGGGGCCGCCCAGAGCACACCCCCAGCACAGACGCTTCTGGGTCTCCCCGGGCGGGGGGCAGGGCCAGCGGCTCCTCAGACAGAGCCACATTTCTGCTGCACGTGCAGCGTCGTGTGTCCACCGCCAGGGTCCCAGTGCAGGATGGTCCATCGTCACCAGGGCCCCTCTTGGTGCCCCTTTCTGGCTGAATTCCTACTTCCCATTTGTAACCTCCAGAAATCACCGACGTGTGTGCCCCTCTGCGGTTTTGTGAGTTTGAGAGCATCATACACATGCAGCCGTTTTCACAACTCTCTGACGGATGCCCAGCCAACAATCACTTTTAACCCACAAAATCACGGCAGATTGGCTGGTACCTCCCTTTTATTCACTAAAACATGGAGGGGGGTGCAGGCACCTGCCTCCGCTGTGACATTGTTCATCATCTTCCCCCAGAGGCAGTGGCTGAGCCCAGGGAGGGGAGGGGCAGAGAGGGGAGGGATAAGGAGGGGAAGGGTGGGGAGGGCAAGGGTAGGGCCTTAGTTGTCAGTTGCTGTCTCACCCGCATCTTGGGGCCACCACGCATCACAGGTACATCTGCTCCTTTACCCTCAGGGACCCTCATGCAGAAATGCAGAGGTGCCTTTAGAGGCATGTCTCCGGGAGGCTCAGGCTCTGGGAAGGGAAGGGGGCCCTGGAGGTTTTTACTGGGCCGGGACCATTTCTGAGAAGGGAGGGGCAGCTCAGAGAAGGAGCCTGTGGTGGCCTGAGTGGTGACCCTCAAAGGACATGCTCCTATCCTAGTTCCTGGAGCCTGTGAAGGGCATCTGATGGGAAAGGGTCTTTGCAGGTGTGAAGTTAAGTATCTTGACAGGAGGAGATCATTCTGGATGAAGATGGGCCCTAAATCCAATGACACGTGTCCTTAGAAGAGACAAAAGAGGAGACACAGAGGCAGAGGCTGGAATGACACAGCCACAAGCCAGGGATGCCTGGAGCCCCCAGCAGAAGAGGCAGGAAGGACCCTCCCCAGGAGCCTGCGGAGGGAGCACACCCTGCAGACCTCCGGTTACAGATCTCAGGCTCCAGGCTGTGAGAAAGTAAATCCTGATTGTCCTGGTCACCCACTTGTGGTGACGGCAGCCCCTGGAGACTCACACAGGGCCCCATCTCACTTCCTGCTCAGACCCTACCACCCTGGAAGGCCCCATCACTGCCCTGACTCCAGGATGCTTTTCACAGCATCTTTCACCAAGCACCTTGTGTTCGGTTCCCAGACTGGGGGGAGGGGTGTGCACCTCCTGGGCTGGGACCCCCAGCCTCTGATGTTGGCCCCAAGCTCTCCCCATCCAGCCCCCTGCCCCTCCCGAGTTGCAGCTCACGCATGGGAGGCCTGGGCGGGCTCCTCTAACGCTTGGAGTAGCAGTGATCTGGAAGGAGAGGGGACTTTCAGTGCAGGGACAGGGACCGGGCAGGAGCACCTCCCATCCCCACCCTGTCCCGGCTCCTGCTCGGTCTGGGAGCAGCGGGGCCGACCTTCGTTGGTCAAGTCGACGATGTTTTGTGGGCCGAGTCCGTACTTTTTGCAGGTTTCTTCAAATCTGCTCAGGAAGGCAGGTTCCAGCTGTGGGACCCGTGCTGGGAACAGAGTTGGTTCTTTGTGAAGGTGGGCCTTGCTGGGGGTGCTCAGGCAGTGCTGAGGCTGGGCAGGGGGTCACGCCCTGACCAGAGAGGGGCTTTGTGCCAAGTGAGGTGGGAGGTGACAGGCTGAAGCACCCAGCACCCTCACGGTGTGTCTGTGGGAAGCAATGGCCAATGGGAACCACCTCTTCAAACCCCAGGGCCACGGCGAGACCCTCGGCCCGGGGTTGGGCCAGATTTCAGAGGCGGTGGGGTCCCCGAGGGAGTCAGAGGGGGACAGCAGAGGTACCGTAGAGCGCCAGCGCGTGGGTCTCGGTCCCGTTCCTGAAGTTCTGGAGGTGGAAGGTGATGAACAGCCTGTAGTCAGTCTCTGAGACGGCCACCGTGTTCTCGCCCTCATCTGCGTGGAGACATGGCTCAGCGTGGCCTGGCCCCGCCACCCTCGGGGTCCTGTGGCAGGTGTGCTCTGTGGCCACAAGCGAGGATGCCGGGTCACGTGGCCTTTTGAGGGGGGAAGGGAGGTGCCCAGGGTGCTTGCCCAGCGGAGACCCCTGCATGGGGCGTAGGCGGCAGCGACACAGCCCCCTCCCTCCTTGTCATCGGGTTGCAGACCTTGGTGGTCCCTTAGTGGGCCCGTCCCCCAGAGCCCAGCAAGACACGCCTGCCTCCCTGCTTCTCCTGGGCCAGGAGCCCCCCTGGAGTTGGTGCCAGGATGGGTCCCAGTTCAGGGTCAAGCTGTCGGCGGGAGACTTAACTAAAATCCCCAGAGTCAGTGCTCACCAGAATATGGCCCAGGCCCTGGAGAAAGGGGACCCCCGGCTGTCAGGCCAGGAGGAGCCTGGCTTCCACTTACAGTTGATGGAGTATTCCCCATTCTTCTCTGTCTTCTCGCAGACCACGACCACGGCCACACACTCCCCCTGCACCCTGGAAGCCAGCCAGGAAGATGCTGGGAGTGGAGCTCCAGCCCCCTGGACGTGCGACGGCAGAGTGCACCCCTCCTCCAGGACACAGGCTCCCCCTCCCAGTGCCCGGGCCTCATTCCACAGCCCTGAGTTCTCGGGCTGGGCCCTGCTGCAGCCTATCCAACACCCTCATCTCCTCGGGCCTCACCCCAGGCTCGGAAGGGGGGCGATTTCATCTCCATGTTTAGGGGAGAGCACGGCGCCAGGTCGACCATGTCCCTGCTCCCACCTCACCCCGCCCCCGGGGATCACACGCACAGGCTCAGGCTCTCGCCAGAGTGTGAGTCTGAGTGTGCGAGCCTGTGTGTGCAAGCGTGAGAGTATGCGTTGGGGTGGCAGGGGCATGGGTCTTCCTGATGCCAGCTGAGACGGGCAACACGCACATGAATTCGAAATCAAATTTTAGGCTGCCGTTCTTCAAATGTTCTATGTTCCGGACGAAGACCCGCAAGTCCCCATTTTCTTTAATCCGATTCAGGTCATCTGAGGCCATGAAAATAGAATACCAGACCCCTGAAATCTGAAGACAAACAGTTCCAGTGGCTGGGGGCCGTGGGACAGCTCCGGGGATGCTTAGCGCCCACATCTTCCCTCCCAGGGCCTGGCCCCTGAGCATCGGGCTCCCAGCCAGATCCCCTCTGCCCTTCCAGGGCCGTCTCTGCCCCCAGGTCTCCCCTCTGTCCCCATATCCCCCTTTGCTCCCAAGGCCCCCCCTCTGCTCACAGAATGCCCTCTGCCCTTCCAGGGCCTCCTCTGCCCGCCCCAGATCTCTCCTCTGCCCCGCCAGGTTCCCCTCTGTCCTCTCAAGGCCCCCCTCTCCACCCTCTCCCACCAAGTCCCCCTCTTTTCCCCAGGTCTCCGTTCTACTTCTAGAAACCCCTCTGTCCTCTTAGGGTCCCCATCTCCCTGCTGGCCGCCACTCCACTCTCCAGGTTTCCCCTCTGCCCTCCCAGGGCCCCTTCTAACCTTTCAGGACCCCAGTCACCCTCCCAGGCCTCCCCCGCCCAACCCTCCCAGAGTAACCCCTGCCCTCCCAGGCTGCTGTCACAGCCTAGGGAGGAGAGCTGGGCTCCCCTTGGACCAGCTGCCCTGGTCACAGGTCAGAGACCCCAGGCTGGGGGAGGACCGTTGCCTTGAAGCCTGGCCCCTTCCCCACAGACCCCAACACAGACGCACCCTGGCTATGTTGTAGTTCCTCTGCACAACGGCGCAGGGATTGAACTCCTGGGCCACGACGATGCTCAGTCCCAGGCTCAGCAGAAGCAGAGCCATCCTTGCCGTGGATGCCTCGGCCCTTGGCCCACCCCATTTATACCCTGCTGCCCTGTGGCTTCCAGCCCTGCGGGGCGGCCCACTCCCTGGCCCATCCACACACATCCTGTGCCCACTGGGCATGCAGCCAAAGGCCCTGAGTCTGGTGCCCTGTCCACCGTGGGAAGATCACCCACTCCCTTGTGGGAGCTTCCTGGATCTGTGGACAAAGGGACCTGCTGTCCCCTCACCGGAGGCAGGCACCCTGTCCCAAAGGCAGGGGACAGCCTCCCTCTCAGCCTGCAAGAGGACCCATGGTGGCTGTGTCTGCAGAGTACAGGGTGTCCCTGTTCCCCTCCCGCCCCCTCCCGCTCCTTCCCCAGCACAGCATCTGGGGCCAGAGCCTATCGTGAGTCACCGTGTCCCCAGACTCAACTGAGGGCCGGGTGCTTATTCTCTCCTTATTCTCTCAGTCCAGTAATGGGATGCGGACAAGCTGGGAAAGTAGAGAGTTTGCTACTGTCACTGGGTACAGGGAGAAGGCTGGGAAAATAGTACCAGACCAACTCAAAATTGCAGTTTTCCAGAGCTTATATACCTTCGAAGCTGTATGTCTACGTGTACGTGTGCATTCATCTAAAGACAGAAGTGATGAACTTCTGCTAATCCATAACTAAGGCCTGAGTCCTGAAGACCTTCTTCTGGAACCTCAGTAAATTTACTTAATTTAGGGGGGTCCAGGTGCTGGAGTGATTACCCTTATCTCATCTTCTGCTGAATCATGAAAGTTTGGGGGCATTCCTTTAGACCCCAATAAAACTTGTTTAATCCTAAACGGGTCCTGTTAAGAATTCCTTCATTATCTTGTCATGCTTCAAGACCCAGGAAGGGCCTGGACAAAACTCTTGGTGGGCTTTTGTTACATTCCAGCCTTTGTTGAAGGGTGCCGGCTCTCTCAGCTTTTAATCTTTAACTTAACCACTCAGTCAGTGCTGGGACAGTTGTCATGGACGCCGGCCTGTTCAGCCGTTAGTGAGACCTGGCCTGCCGCAGTCCCCACTGTCGAATTATGCGTGATTGCTATCATGCTTGCATAGGTATTTATTATGAGAATCATGGGGGGATGGGGCATTATAGTCTTTCTGGCTATTTCCTGCTGATAGGAGGTCATTGTTACGGGGCACCGAATGCAGTGTTGGAGTGAAGGAGGTTGATTTGTTCCCAGTAGTACTCTCTGTTTCGGGGGCCTAGAGGCAGCACCTGCTGAAAGAGTATGAGCTGGAGGGATGTTTTGGAACAGTATGCAACAGCAATACCTTCCGCAACGTAAACGATGCCGGTGCCTGCAAGGATGGCCTGGACTGTAAGGATGTTCAGCCCCTAGGGAGGCCCTCCGCTAAGCCACGATGCGATCTGACTATTAACTGATAGCCTAGGACTGGAGGTGACCTGCATCTGTGGATGCAGAGCCTTTAACGCCAGAGAAATATTCCCGGGATTGTCCCTTTAATGCTGGAGAAATATTCCCGGGATTGTCAGGTACATACATGCAACGAGGGCACAGGGTCCCCCCGGCCGCTGTTGGAATATCTAGAGCCGTTTGATTTTGCAAGGTAGCTTTCCACCTATGGTGCATTTCAGCATTCACACGGGAAACACTTTGGAGACTGTTGTTTAACGCTCGCTGCAGAAAATTAGCCTCTGGCTGCCGTATGACCCTTTCTAAGCCTACTGAGGGCGTAAAGATTGCGGCCAGATGACCGTCCCTGTGAAAGACTGAACTGATCCATCTGTTAAGCATAGGTGGGAGATTGGCTGGATTCTGGATGGTTTTTACCAGGGTCCCTGTGCCCATAGGAGGCCTAGAGTGCAGCGTCTCACCGTGGGCAGCCGTGGCCATAAAATGGTGCCACAAAGCCACTGGGTTCCTTCAGGGGCATCCCAGTGTAGGCCAGGTCATTGGGACCAGTCAGTGGCAAACAAATCTCTTTGTTGTGGGCCGGGCACAGTGGCTTACATGTGTAATCCCAGCACTTTGGGAGGCTGAGGCGGGTGGATCACTTGAGGCCAGGAGTTCAAGACCAGCCTGGCCAACTTGGTGAAACCCCGTCTCTACTAAAACAACATAAAAATTATCCGTTGGGAGGCTGAGATGGGCGGATCACGAGGTCAGGAGATCGAGACCATCCTGGCTAACAAGGTGAAACCCCGTCTCTACTAAAAAATACAAAAAACTAGCCAGGCGAGGTGGCGGGCGTCTGTAGTCCCAGCTACATGGGAGGCTGAGGCAGGAGAATGGTGTGAACCTGGGAGGCGGAGCTTGCAGTGAGCTGAGATCTGGCCACTGCACTCCTGCCTGGGTGACAGCGTGAGACTCCGTCTCAAAAAAAAAAAAAAAATTATCTGGGTGTGGTTGCAGGCACCTGTAATTTCAGCTACTTGGGAGGCTGAGGCAGGAGAATCGCTTGAACCTGGGAGGCAGAGGTTGCAGTGAGCTGAGATCGCTCCACTGCACTCCAACCTGGGTGACAGAGACTCTGTCTCAAAAAAAAATAAAACACAAAACACAAATAAAAACTCAGATCTCTTTGTTGGGGCGCTCTAAGATGTGCAGCGGAATCCGTGCCACGATCCGAGTTACGTTAGGCCGGTGGTCAATGTGTGGTGGGATCCATCCCAGGATTCGAGTTACGTTAAAGCCAGTGGTCAAGGGAGGGGTTCTGGTGTTTGTAGTATAAGGGGGCTACTTGGTTTCAATGTCCGGTGGAGGCAGGCCATTGCATCATCCCTTGTTTTGTTTACTGAGAATGGCCTTGTGTGCCCTGGGCTGTCTAAAGTTTTATTTATGGGCCACTCTGAGACATTTGCCCTGGTTACTCCTGTCATTTGCAACCCAGTCCGAGATTTTAGATTTCCCAGAAAGGTTTGCCGGTAAATCCAGTCCTTCCCCTGGATGGGCGACCCCCGCCAAGGCAACCCTGAGGTGCTGGAAAGGGGTGAGAGGCCACAGACCCTGCAGGAGGCTGGCTGTAGGTTATCTGCATAGTCCTGCGCCCAGTGTAAGGGAAGATGAGAGGTAAGAGCAGGAATGATGAGAGGCATCGCAAGACAGAGCGCTAGAAGAGAAAGTCCTGGTATTTTCTGAATGGAAACTTCGGGCCTTTTCGGGGTTCTGCTTCCCAGCCGTGGCGGGAGACTCCTCTGCTGTAGGGCTATCGGCCGGCAAGGGTCTTTCCACTCGCGTGTGATGGACCCAAGGATTGATGCCTGCCAGCTTCAGCGCTGTGCCCATGGTCAGGAGCACGTGGTAGGGCCCTTCCATTTCTCCCGTCGTGGCTTCCTTCCATTCCCTCAGCAGTACTTGATTGCCAGGTAGGAGTGGGTGGCAGGTGTCTGTGGAATTCACCGCATCCCTGTTGGAAGCAAACTTATGCAAAACGTTAAGAGTTTGTCCTAAGTCAGCAACATGATTCTTAACAGCCAACTCCCTATCGAGGGGCACTTCGGTGGCCTGAGACAGATTAGCTGCAAAGGGTCTCCCAGAGACAGTTTCACAGGGACTTATTTTAATCCCACTTACAGGGAGCAGTGCTATGCTAAGTACCTGAGTCCTTTTCAGTGGAGCCTCTTGACACAACTTGGCAATGAATGTTTTTAGGCTGCGGTTCATTCTCTCAGTTTGTCCGGAAGATTGAGGTCTCCATGCTGAGTGCAGCGTCCGCTTCATTTCCAATGCTTTGTTCATTTGTTGAGTTATCTCAGAGGTGAATGAAGGCCCGTTATCATTTTGGATTACATCAGGGAGCCCGTATCGTGGTATGCTTTCCTTCAGCAAAACTGTACTTCAGTTGCTTGTTCAGAGCGACATGGGCACACTTCCTCCCAGCCAGAGAAAGTCCCCACTAGAACTAGGAGGTATTTGCATCCCCAGGGGCTGGTGGCATCTGTGTAAAGTCTATTTGCTGGTTTTCTAGTGAGTACCTTCCTCTTTCTTGTTGCCCAGGCTGCCCTTGGCTATGATTATCAGGCTTATTCCGGGCGCACAGATGACAGTGTTAAATGATATTCTCTAAGTGGGTCTTTAGTCCTTTCCCTTTCAAATAATTTTGTACAAAGGCCAGCGAAGCGTCTCTCAAAGTGCGGGCTATCGTGAACGTACTTTAACAGCGGGCGGACGAGACGCACTGCTGCCCAGACTATGCCTGCGCTGTTTCCTCTCTATGCCTCCGCCCCTCCTCATTTAGTTTGAATCCCTTATCTTCTGCAGCCTTTTCATCTTCAGAAGCATACCGGGGCTCGAGGGCCTTGAAGTCTATTTGGGGAATTAAGGGCGCCTGGATTTCGATGCTATCACTGGCTGAATGCCCGGTGGTGCGGTCTGCGAAAGCATTGCCCCTTGCCACTTCGGAATTACTGCGTTGATGGCCGGGGCAACGCATTACGGCTATTTCCTGTGGGGCCTTTGTCGCTTCTAACTTTTTTTTTTTTTTTTTTTTTTTTTTTTTGAGACAGAGTCTCCCTCTGCTGCCCAGGCTGGAGTGCGGTGGCACGATTTTGGCTCACTGCAACCTCCGCTTCCTCAGTTCAAGAGATTCTTTTGCCTCAGCCTCCTGAGTAGCTAGGATTACAGGCACGCACCACCGTGCCCAGCTAATTTTTGTATTTTTAGTAGAGACGGGGTTTCACCATGTGGGCCAGGCTGGTCTCGAACTCCTGACCTCAAGTGATCCACCTGCCTCGGCCTCCCAAAGTGCTGGGATTACAGGCGTGAGCCACCATGCTCGGCCCTAATAGCACATTTATATGAAAATAATCCAAAGAAGGTTAAATATCATTTCATATTCGACAATGCTTCCCATATGATTTTATTTTACCAAATAAGCAGAATTTGTCTCTTTTGGTCTCCAGGGGACCTGATATCAAAAATTTAATAGGGCAAATAGACTGAATTTAGAATTTGATTTTTAAAAGTTTGTAAAATATCAAAAGTTTAAAACACTTGATATCACAAAATAGGATTG